GCATTATTTTTCCCTCTCATCAGACGTAGAACGCTAAGGCTGATGTGCTTGGACATGGTAACAGTCGGCCATCGGGCATCTGCTGTGTGAACCGCTGGTACCTACCGCGTGGAATAACCAAGAATTCCTTATACAACCGTCGTCTTGTGCATGGATTTATGAGAACTTCTTCTGATATGGCTCTGGAGAAAAGATAACGGGTACATCTCGTCTTGAGAATCCTGGGGCGATACCTACTCACCGGCGGCGGGCCAATTCTACCCGGACGTATGGCCTGGTGAACGCTATGGCGACTTCCATATGGAGGTTCGAACGTGTATTTGCATTACAAAATGCTTCTAAAATGCATAAGAAAGTAAATAAAATCGTTAAACCCATCGCTCGCTTAGCTTGTTTATTCACTACGAGCGAATTGCGAGTGGGAAAAGATGATACATGTCTTCTGACAAGCTGAAACACAGTTCAGTTATTTCTTGAAGCGTCGTAATAAGCGCTCAAAAGATGCTGGAAAGCGTGAGAGCAAGAGTTGTTAAGGTGCGGAGTTAGTACTACAAATATGTTCTATTACCATACTTTTTGGAGGCCGAATCACTTTTCTTCTATTGTTTATCGTCAAGAGAAGCGCAATTAATTGATGAATGACTCTTGGGCTGTACTCTTGAGCAGTGGCGGGTAGGCTCAGCCAAAAGATGTAGAAGGTGAGAGTGAAAGTCACTCAATAATTCGATTTTGGTTTAGATGTCGCTGAAATCTCCAATTATGGGAATGCTTTAACCCCAGAGAGACCGGCAATAGCATCCTGGCTGGTTCTGTGACCGACCCTGACTGTTGGCGGAGATAATCTGACGTCTCCGTTCATACCCCAGTCATATGGCACATGTCTTTGACGTATATAAGAACTTCTGCTACATGCTCCTTGATATGTCATGTAGATCCCACTGTGGATGTAGCAACGTAATAGGTTCCTGTCATTTCAGCCATCGCATGAGTTGGAATACGTATTTGAAGTTACAGATACTGTACCCGACAAGATATAATGCTATGAAGGTAGGAAAACATTAGAAATTACCGGTAGTAACGCAGCCACCAGAGCTAGTCAACCAGGATATTCGAAAGTAGTCCTACACATAAATGCAAAGTCTCAGCCCTCAACGGTGCCAAACAAGATGTCTGTATACTTGACGACCTTTACGTCCATTCTCGGCGGCCGTTTTCGCGGGGGGTCGTGGCCTTCTAGAGAGCTGGCGCAGCTTTCCTCGGAGCGACTGCCCTTTGGTGCTGCGGCTTTCACGGTAGCCTTCCTTGGTACAGATTTCTCAGCGGGTTCTTTTGGTGCGGTCTTCTGAGTAGTTTTCCTTGGCGCGGCTTTCTGGGCAGCTTTCTTCGGAGTGCTACCTTTTGGTGCGGCTTTCCTCAAAGCTTTTGGTGCCCCCTTCCTTGACACAGTCGACCTTGCCGCGGATTTTCTTGGAGCAGCTTTCTCGGTGCTGGCCTTTAGAGTAGATTTCCGCCTGTTCGATTTCCGCTGCAGTTTTGGATCTCGCGACCGCGCAGCGCCTGACAAGTCCATGATAGTCCTAGAAAGGAAGGCACAGGATCAGCATATAGCGCGCTTCGATAGGGCCTACAGAAAGATTTTATCTGAGTGATGCAAGGAGCTTACAGGACGGTCTTCTGTCAAGTCACGTTTCGTCCACAGATTGCTACATATCGCCACGTCCTCTTGACCTTGGGCCTTCTTTGCTGCCCTCTCCGCACGAATAGCCTCAATCCCTTTTGCTTCATCACCGCCGGTTGACTTTGATGACACCTCTAGCTTTTTGCCGGATTCACCGCGACTGACACAGGGACGGGAATTGCCCGCACCACTATCGTAGATTTTTGAGTATCTGACCTTCAAACAAAATATGCGGGGTCTACGTACGCTCGGATACTGCTAAGAGTACCATTAGGAATATAGCCTTGTGCATGATCGTAAAGAGAGGTGTTCCAGCACCTGTCGGGCATTTTCGTTAGTTATCAGATATTTTCAGGGTCCAGAAACACATACAACGAGGGATATGATAAAATATGAAAAGAAAAGAGGTAAAGAGAAGGGAAAATAAGGGGAGAAGAAGAAAAGTCGACCTGTCGACAGAAGTAACGAGAAGAAAAAACGGATTGGGATTCCTCAAGTGGCGGTTTGATCCTCTTTTATGTAATCCTGGAAGAATGTATTCGATCTTTGAGTGGTACGTGCGCACCGGCCAGACTCGACACCCAGGATCTCCGTGCAACTAAATGTTTTCTGGCTTGGCATGACTTTTGGGGGCACTGTAGCTTAATTTGCGGCATATTTCCCCACTAGTACATCCACTCTTGCCTAGCGGAGGTGGCTAGGGTTTAGAGCTGATAGAGGCTAATCTCCGTCGACGCCTGTGACCATCATGTTGCCGCTTCCATCACCATGAATCGTTTGTCTGGAGCTCAAGATAACATCAGTTTTCATAGTACTTTCCATAACGGCAGTCAACAATTTAACTTACTACTGCCGTGTGAACTGGCTAGGGCATCCATATAATCGCAAAGAAACCATTATCGCATCGCATTTCTTGAAGAGAGTACGGATGATTTCGAGGAGGATTTGTCTTCATGTGGTGTCGCTGAAATGAAAATGGCCGCGGGCTGTGGACGAAATTAAACGGGCCACGCTATGCCCACCTGCACCTATGGTTTTCCGTTGGGTCAATATCGTGCACCGACATGGACTCATAATCGCAAACCGTATCGAGGTGAAAGATATAGTGGACTCCTAAAATGTCCAATCCTTTACATCTAACGACGACCTTTACGTCCCTTCTATACATCTGAAATTAACTCGACTTCCTATATCCCTACGGACCAAAGCGTACCTGATAAATATGGGGCGGCGTAATTCTGTGGTGTGAATTGGTGGCGTATCACCTCGGACCTTACCAATCCATCCATTATTCACATATATTCGCAGCATCATCCCACATCCTAGTAGTTGCAAAGAGGGAAGCTATCGTTGATATTTTATAGACGAGTCGCTATCAGATACTCGTAATAGTATCATCTCAACTTGCACTACAAATTGCTATCCACTCCAGAAAAGC